ACTTCATCTTCACAAACATCTTCTCTAATGACTACATGTGAGTCTAAAAGTAAACTCCAGATTGCCAAGTCACTCTCAGCACTTTGGAATTTAATGAGCACTTGGTCCCTCAGGGGTCCCCTGCTAAGCCCCCTGGAGGCAGTGAGGAGGAGAAAAGAAGACATTTTATCTCCTTCCTCAGTTACATTCCTTTTCACTTTGGGAGGGCTCCCTATGATCATGTCAGAAACTAGAAAGTAGAGGCTAGAGACAAAATAAAGGCAGAGCTTTAAAGACTCTAGACATCAGTCCCCAAGGCTCATCTTCACAAACTTATTTACCTTTGGAAGATTGAACCTACTGATTCCTAATACCTCCTTAAAGCCACCCATGATGCACCTGGGAGAGATGAGCTCTACATCCTTGGAGGAGAATGTTTTAAATATGTCTTCATGGAGGCTCAACTAAATGAATAGAGCTGTGGAAAGCAAAAGGATGTGGAAATAGGGGTAGCTTCAAATCTATCTCATCCTTCCTCTTGTCTCCTTCCCCTTATACAACTGGGTGTGTAACTGATAGAGTAATGAAGGACAACCTGGAGGGGGCCCCGGAGGGAAGTGAAAGTATGTATGAGAGAGAGAGTATATATGAACCAAATTGAGATCTGTGGCTGCTTGGGGGTAGAGAGAGAGGGAGTTCTTTTTTCATAAAAGCATCAAATATAAAAGGTCAAGTGGGTTTAGGAATACTAAAAGTTAGAACACAGAAATACAGGGTCAAGTGGTTTTTAAATAAAGAATGTCAAATCTTGAAGGAGTGTTAGAACATTGAATTGGAGAAACACAAATCTAGACTCCCATCATTTTACAGAAATGAAAACTGAGATCCAGAGAGATTAGGCTACTTCTTGAGGTAACACAGGAAGAATTTATCAGAGATGAGATGGTATGGCAGTGCAGAAAGACCTTCAATGGACCTGAAAGTTAAAGATATGGGTCACCACTGAGAGGAAACTTAGAGAATGATTACCCAACTCCTTCCTCTCAAAGAAGCTAAAACATGAGCCTGAAGAGACAGAACAGATAAACTGACACCACAGCCAGGAAGTGATCAAGCTGGACATCATGGTCTGGCCATACACATTGTTTCATCACATCTTAACAATAATACTATGAGGTAGGTGCTATAAGCATTATTATTATTATTATCCAATTTTACAAAGAAGGAAACTGAAGCCAAGGATCTTAAGTGATTTCTTTTGATCATGCATCTAGTAAGAGTCAGAGGCAAGATTAGAACCCGCATTTTCCTAACACCAAGTCTAATACTCTGGCATACTACACCACACTGCCTTTCAGAGATAGTCTCACTAAGGCTACAGGACCATACCAACTGCTTTCGCCTTTTGACATCAGCCTATAATTTCCAATCTGACAGACAGTCTGAGCACATGAAGTTGAGGGACTGAGGATGATTATTGAATAAGCTGGCCAGTTTGGTCCAACAGTATTATAGTGTGTTCTCCTCTCACCCCCTGCCCCATGGAATTATTTGTCCGATTGAATCAGATTGTTTTATAACAAGTCCATAAACTTGTGATGATGATCCCTTTTCCTACATATAATATGGACATGGAGAAGCTGTAGTAAATTGATAAGAGGGTGGTCAAGAGATAGAGGGAACTCTAAACCAGGGCTTATTTGCCATGGTGGAAGGAGGCTCTTAGCTCTGTTACTTTTGGTAAGGAGTTAGACTTCTTTCCACTCCAGTTTCACCTAAGTTTCCTTCCAGATATCAAGAACTACACACATTTGAATAGATCAGTCATAGCAAAAGAAATATTGGCTCAATAGAAAAATAAACTCTCAAGTAATCTGAACTAAGGAGCAGGTTGCCTCACAAGGTAGGGAATATTCCAAACTGAGAATTTTCCAATAAAATGCTAGATGAGTATATTCCAGACATGATGTAGGCATGACCAATACACAATGGGGGGAAATTTGGAATATATAACCTCTAATTTTTTTTTTATTTCCAAATGTATAAGATAAATTAAATCTTTCTCTTTTTTAAAGGTAAAGTTTCCAATTTATATTTCTTTAACTTTCTAGCATAGAGCATGGTACACTGGAAAGGGGCCTGGCTTTGTAGTAAGTAGAATTGGATTTGAACCCTTCATCTTCCACTTAACTATATGACCCTGGATAAATCACTTCACAACCCCGGGCCTCAGTCTCTTTATCTATAAAATGAAGAAGACAGAGTAGATAGTCTATAAGGTCTGTTCCAGCTCTGTCTATGATCCTTAATCTTTAGGCTACGAGGTCATCTCCTGGGAAGGAGAGCAGAGACAATAGCTTTGATCCCCTGACCTGCCTGAAATATCTTCCCTCCCCTTTTTCATATGTGAAACTCCCATCCACTATGAAATCTCTTTAATGGATTGCTACACCTTCTCCAAATTCCTGATAACATAGGGGTACATGCAGCAAAGAATTCAACTAACAAATCAAATCTTATTATTGTTATCGTGAGCCAGGCTCCTTAGTCAGACTTCTCCTATGTTGTTCTTGGAAATATATCTTCAAGTGGAGGGGTTGCCCAGGGCAAAGTTTCTGAATTTCTTCTTTAGAAATGATTTTTTTCCTCTTTTCAGTGGTCTGAGAAATGCATATTCCAAATGATGGAGACAGTTTACTGACTGCTAAACAAAGAGATGAAATCCAAACAATGGCTTCTGGTTCTCATAACTGAAAACCTAACTATCAGGTACAATATGCTGGCCAGTAAGTGACCTACTTCCTTTGCATTTCTTTTCTCTGCCAATGCCTTTGGAAAAGCAACACTAAGTTGCAAACCCCAAAGTCTTCAATATGCTGAAGCACTTATGATGACTTCATAATATGTTTAGGATAGGGACAACCATTGGCCTCTTGAGGATGAAGAGATCATACCTCAGAGAGGTACAGGGATTTGCCCAGGTCACAATCATTAAATGGGAGAGCTTGCATATGAACACAATACTCCAAATCCAATTGTTCTTTCTATTTCATAGAATGTTAGTGTTAAAGAACTCCTTAAATATCATATAACTCAAATAATTGACCTTGAAGATCAGAAAACTGGGAGCCAGAGATGTAAAGCAATTAGACTGACATCACCCAACCAAAAAACAATACTGTCTATAATGTTTTTAAGGCCTAATCCATTGGTCATTCTACTATCCCACACTGCTTTCAGACCTAGTTTAGTATAATATAGTATATTATATTAGTATTAGTATGTAGTATATACTATTATAGTATATGTATTATATTATAATATATAGCATATAGTATAGCATATATAGTATATATACTACTATATATTTAATATAATATATATTATTGTATAGTATATATATTATAGTGTAGTATATATATATATATATTAGTATATAGTGAATAATATTAGTATATGATAGTACAATATAGGATAAGTATTAGTATAAGAGTACCTGTGTTTCCATCTCATTTGATTTCACGAGATCAGAGACTACTAGATCATAGACAAAAGTGGAAGGGTCCTGATGGGTCATCTAGTTCAACCCCCTTATTGATAAAGCTGAGGTCTGGAAATGTTATTTCTCCAAAATCCCACAGAGTTTAAGCTAGAACCCAATTCAAATGACTTCTGGCCCATTGAACTATCTGAAACCCATGTGTTTCTCATGAATTCCCTGCTCTTTACAGAACCAAATTCACTCTGAACGGCACCATAGCAGTGGCAGACTTTAGCATTAGGAAAAAGCATAGAGACAGGTTTGCCCAGCCATCACATGTCTCTCTCTCTGGGATGAGGGGGCCATGAGTCACACTGTCATGTCTAACTCTTTGTGACCCCATGGACTTACCCACGAGGTTTTCTGGGCAAACGTACTGGAGTGCTCTCCCATCTCCTTCTCCAGTGGATCACCTTTTGCAGATACTCTTTTGTCAGACAAACAGAAGTTAAGTGACTTGCCCAGGGTCATACAGCCAAGAGGTGTCTGAGGTTTGATTTGAACTCAGAGCTGCCTTACGCCAGCCCCAGAGCTCTATCCACTGAGCCACCAGATGCCTCAGTGAGGCATCAGAACTAAAAGGATAGTTGATTGAAACCCCAGCCAAGAGAGGGAAAGTGCTTTAGCCAAGTGCATGCCACAAGTCAGTGACAGCCTAGGGATTAGAATCTGAACCTCCTGACTTCTAGTCCAGTGTCCTTCCCATGATGCACTAACGTCTCAGCTCATTGTCATTATAATGACATGTTTTTTAAATGAGTCACTCTCATTAACTCATTTCTTGTCTCCACAAAATCCATAGAATCATGAATTTAGAGCTGATAAGGATGTCAGAGAGTATGTAACCCAATCTCTTTATTTTGTAGGTAAGAAAACTGAGGTTACTGGTGAGGGTGGGGTGGTTAAGTCACTTGTCCAAAGTCACACAGTCAGTCAATATTTGTCTCCCTTGGATAGAATAAAAAGGAAGTGTTTCATTGAAGATTTCGTGCCTCAGCACCTAGCAAATCTGGTACATAGCAGGCAAATGATTATCGATTGACACATTTAATTTTCAAAGGTCAGATTTGAAAACAGGCGCTCTACCACTGTGGCCCCAGGAATATTTCTGCTATATCATGACGCCTCCCTTAATCATACATAGAGACCTCATCATTTCAAAGGGGTTACCACGAACCATTGACCATGGTATCTTTGCCATATATGATCTGACAAGTTCTACCAATATAAGAAGTTTCCAAGAAGAGGCCCAGCAACGGAGTAGGGGTCTGTTATCTCAGGACGGCTTTGTTAAGTACAGAGAGGGTCCTCACCAGAAAGTGATTAATTGACCTGCTCATCATAACTAGTGAAGACTTAAGGCATGGAAGATTTCTTAAAACCACGGATATTTGGTCCTAGAGGATTGAAATGAAAGACCTTTGCAAACAGGCCTGTCATGAAAAATATAAAATGGTGGTCACGACCATGTTGTCATGTGATGTGTTTCTCCTGCTTTGGTGATGCAGATAGAGAGGGAAGGGTATGGATGGAAGAAATAGCACAGCCGTGACCTATTTCATTCTGATTGGGCTTTCAGAGCACCCCAGGGCTCAGGCCATCTTCTTCTGCCTGCTCCTGGTATCCTATCTTGTTACCTTGCTGGGGAATGTCCTTATTCTCTTCTTGATCCACTATGATTCCCATCTCCACACACCCATGTATTTCTTTCTCAGCAACCTATCCTTCCTGGATATCTGCTACACTTCAGCTAGTGTCCCTCAGATGATCATTAACTGTTTAGTCAGAATTCCTATCATCTCCCTTGGCCAGTGCTTGGCACAGATGTGTGCTGGCCTCTACTTGGGAGTTGTGGAATGTCTCCTGCTGGCTGTCATGGCCTATGACCGTTGCATAGCCATTGGTGACCCTTTACGCTACTCAGTGAGGATGGGTCCCCAGTTCTGTATCTGGCTTTCAGTAGGGTCCTGGGTCTCAGCCTTTTTCCTCACTGTAATCCCAACCCTGATCACACCACTAGAGTTCTGTGGCCAGAACATCATCAACCATTTCTCTTGTGAGCTCTTGGCTGTCATCAAAATTGCTTGCAATGATCTGAGATACAATGAATATTTTATGATGGCCTCTAGTTTCATTACCCTCCTGGTACCCTTTGTCTTCATCCTTGCCTCCTATGGGCGCATCCTCAGGGCTGTGCTGAAGATGAACTCAACTAAAGGTCAAAAGAAGGCTTTCTCCACCTGCAGCTCCCACCTCACTGTGGTAATTATCTTCTATGGGACAGCAATCTCCATGTATATGATGCCCCAAGACAAGGCCAGCAGGGACTGGGACAAAATCATCTCCATGCTTTATGGTATTGTGACACCCATGCTCAACCCCCTAATCTACAGCCTCCGGAACAAGGATGTGAAGGGGGCCTTACAGAAACTATGTGGGGAGAAGAATGCCCCCTAAGAAGAAATCCTTCTTCTGTAGACCAAAGGTGAGGCTCTGACTACTGGTCAAATATAACTGTTGAAACAGAAAGAGAGCTTGTTTCTTCACAGTGCTTAGTTTCACACAAATGCCTCCAGGCTCCAAAGTTGTTCTCTGGGATTTTAACAAACACTGCAATATAAATGGGGCAGAGTCATGTACAGTTGCAGTCTAAGAGATGCAGTCTCAGCCATCTGAGAAAGCACTTGTCATCACATGGATTTAAAGACTAACTCCCAAGCTACCACAGAGGTTTTAAACACCATCACAGCACCCAGGTTCTTAGGAGAAAGAAAAATTCAGATGTGAAATGTATTTCCTCCAGGTTCTTTCTCTTGCATCGGCATATCAGAAGAAGCACGCGGAAGCATTTCCCAGGATATAGTATCTAGTCCCCTCACCTGTCTATTTGTCAATTTGCTTCCTAAAAAAGGTGTCCATAACTGAGCACCATTTCATCTGAAAACTGTAGAAGACAGAAAGATTCTACCTGCTTTAGACAATGTCCTTCCATTCCAGGTCCATTTTGAACTAGAAGGATAAGATCAGTAAGGCATCTTCTGATCACATGGCAGATGTCACTCACTTCAATAAGGCTTTCCTGTAAAGGGAGAGGAATATGGAGGTACCCAAAGAATGGACTAAAATTTTCAAGGGCAAACACAGAGTATTATTGCTGTAAGTGTTCTATACACTGTCATTGAGAAAAAAGGACTGCCAGTCTCCCATCCATCTTTCAACATCCCTCAATTCTCCCCTGAACCACTCCAGCATATATTATCTCTCCCTCCTCTCAACATGTACAGTTACTGATATGCTGCTGTTTCTCTTTTATAGGTGTGAATCATGTGACTAATAATTCTGCAAGCTCCTAGAGGGTAGAGATTGTGTTTTCTCTTCTTTCAATCCCATTCTACTCTTTTCCACCCAGCAAAGTTCTGAGGAAAGAATAAGTGTTCAATATATATTTGAATTAAATACTAGATCCAATTTCTCCTTCCAAAAAACCTTGAGTATCTGCCCTTTGTGATGCTTGTAGATGTATTTTTAATCTCTTTCAATTGTGAAAGATAGTGTGAAGTTCTAGTTATCACCTCAGTCATGAACTGCAGACAGAAATAATAAGAGAGAGCCAGAGGAAGATAGGGGTAGAGAAAAGAAATCAGAGGAAACTCTGTTGTAGTAGAAAGAACATTGGACGTAGGTTGGGAGAACAGGTTTGAGTCCCAGCTTTGGAACAAATTAGCCCTGTGAGCACAGGCTTCATGTTTCTCAGCCTCCACTTAGTTGGGTGATCCAAGCAAATCCCTTCATGTCTGTGGGCTTCTGTTTTCTCACTGACAAAATGGGAGGGATATAGTACATTGCTTCCAAGGCACAGGAACATGCCTACAATAGGAAAGGAGAGGAAGGACAGGACAGGACAGGAGAGGAGAGGTAAGGACATGCTCACCTGAAAAGGGGAAACCATCTAACACATCTGTGAATTATAAACAAATTGACAAAGTACAATTTTAAAGATAAAATCTCAAACAAGAGGTCATTAATTTTTTTATTAAGCTATGTTATAGAAATGCTTGTTTTATCCCAAGAATTAAAAATAAAATCAATAAAAAATAAATGAGAACGATAAAAATTGTTGTATGTGGAGGTAGCCCATTCCATTCTTAATCAGCACAAATTAGGTTTGGCCTTTTTTTTTTTGATACATTAAACCCAAATCTAACTTTCTGCAATTTCCTCCCATGTTCCTAGTTCTGCATTCTGAGGCCAAGTAGATCATGTGTAAGCCTTTGCCCACTTGCTAGCCCATTATGTAAGTGAAGACAGCCAACACACTCCCATTCAGTCTTCCCTTCCATAGGATACCCATCTCCAGTTACTCCCACTGATAATCATATGACAAGGCCATCAATACTCTCACCCTTCTGTTTGTCCTCTCTTGGGCACATCACCACATCACCTCCATGAGCTCGTTTGGAGCTAACACAAGAATATGGAGTAGATTGGGCACAGAGTCTGCATCCAACTATAGAATCTACTCCATATTCTTGTCACCATGTACCTCCCCATAATGCCTCATGCAGAAGGAGTCTTCAACATTGAAGGTACCAGGAAAATTAAAAGAACATTATCATGGGTAATTAGAGGAGCCCTTTCAGATTTTCACACTCATGTCTTTCTAGTGTTTTCATCTAATCTAACCCAAAAAGTTTTGTGAAAATAGAAATTTCCCATTTCCCAGGTTAAGTAAAGTGGAAATATAAGGAGAGAAGGGAAGAAGAAAGGAAGAGAAGGGACTTGTGATTGTCAGGTCCAAATTTTCATTTAACCAAGGGAAATAAGGATTCAAATTAACTATTCCTCCCAGGGACTGGCAACAAGGTTGGACTTCAGCTCTCCCTCATCATTTCATTGCCCCTTCTTTGGCCACCTCCTCTTTTGATTTGCTCACTTCCTATGTTCTCACACTCATTTCCTGACTTGCCCGGTCAGGTCAATGCTCTGCATTGTACATTTCCAGTTCTCTGTTACTTGCTTCCTGTCTTAACTGCTGATATCTTATCTTCCTCTGTCCACTTCCTCTCTTCTCCTCTCATATTCAAATCCTTCTAACCTAACCCTTCTTTGTAGGGGAGGAAAAAGATATTTGAAGTCTACAATTCTGTAGCCACATGAGCCGAAGAGAGACAGGGTCACAGCATTGCCACAAAGCCTAGTCAACTTATTTCACTTCTTCCTCACTTTCTCCCTCCATCAGCCCACTTCTCTTCCTCAACCTGAGGCTGAGGAAGGGATGCCGAGTAGCTGAGTCCCGTGAATCACTGGTCTTTATCAGATACATTTGTCCTAACTTGACAAATTCCTGTTTTCCTCCCCTGCCTATTGCATACCCTTGCCTTCTAATTCCTTTTCACCACCTGCCCAATGTTTCATTCTTGCTCATTTCTTGTCTTCTCTTACTTTCTGTGCTTCCTCCCAACTTCCTGCCCTTTTCCCCTATTTTTTGTCCTCACTTAGTTACTTAACTCAGTCCCTGGATCCCCTGTTCTGAATGAGTTCAGATGATCTGGGGTCCGTCTCTATGACCAACATTATAAGATCATGGCTTCTGATGCTCCTCAGATAAATAGTCTTCATTTCTGGAAGATTTGCTAGAGCTTCCCTTCTATGAACTAAGGCAACCACTCAGCATTTTGAGCACGAACATGTTTATACACAATACAGAAACACACGTATTGTGTATGATACGTTAAAATGTAACTGGGGTACAAATCTGTGCCCAGTGACAAGGAACAAAGTATCAGTATGGAAGGCTTTGAAAAGTGGATGGTTCTGAAGCTTCTTTAACAAAGACTTCTCATTCCTTGGTATGATATTTTTAATAATAACAACAATATCCAGCATTTATATAGAATTTTAAGGTATGCAAATATTATCTCATTTGGCCTCAAAATAACCTTTAAATGTCAGTGTTATTACCTCGATTTTAGGGATGAGGAAACTGAGGCAGACAAATATTAAGTGATGTGCCCAGAGTCCCACAGCAGTAAGTGTCTGAGGATGATTTGAACTTGGGTCTTTAGGACTCTAGGACCGGCCCTCTAACCACTGTACCATTTGGCTCCCTCTTACCAAGAATCTCTTCCACAGTATTCCTAATAAGGGGATAACTTGGTTTTAAAAGCCCTCCTAGTTGGGATACGCTTTTTCACCTAATTCTGGCTACCTCTGTGACCTTGGGTAAGTCATTTAATTTAACTGGTCTTCAGTTTCCTCATGTGGAAAGTAAGAGCATGCCAAGATAGTCTCTGAAGTCTGTCCCAGCTTCTCTGTTCTCAGGCACCCCCCCAGCTCCGACCTATTTTCTCTATCACTTGAAACCCCAGTATTCTAGAGTCTACATTATAACAGTTTATGTCCCAATGTCCCTTCCACCTTGGATGTTTTATTCTTTTATGAGAAGGATGCCTCAACAGGGTCTGGTTCTCGGGCTATTTCATAACTTCCTCTCATATATTTTTACTGCCATCCTACCTCACCCCCCCCCCAGGATTTTCTCTCCATTACACACATGGAAATAGAAGGAAGGAAGAGGGATACTAGAATCTGGCCCTGTTTCCCTGTCTCCCTCTCCTCTCCAGATCCACAGCTTTAGGCTCTGCCCAGGCCCCTATGACCACACACCTAGGAAAGGAAGTCTTCTCCAAAGATGTCCAGCCCATCTCCCTCAGATGCATAATTAGGGCTTCAGGGACATTTCAAGAATCAGTGGGACTGTCTGTGAAATTAAGGAAGCTCCTGAAATTCTACCTCTAGACAGATCCTGAGGCTGGACAGATCTCTTTCTTTCTTTCCTTCTATCTTCTTCCCTCTGCTGACTGACATAATCACCATTCATTGGCAGCACCTGGACTCAGATCAGACTCCTTTGATGCCAAATCAAATGATTTTTCTACAACATCCCTGTTACTTTCCTAGCTTTGAAGTTAGAGAACCTCAGCTCTAGTCTCATTTGATGTCACAGGATTTCAGATTATAAGATCCCTGACCCTGTTAGGGGGAATTCAGTGGGCACCAAGTCCAACTCCCCTCATACTCTACATGAGGAAATGAAGGCCCAGAATGTCCAAGTTACTTTGCTGATGGTATAGAATGAGTTTACAGGAGACCTAATAGTTGAACCCAACCATCATGATGTACAGACCGCAACTGCTCCCTTCTTCCTCACTGAAAACTTGAGTGAATGTTCTGAATTCCATGCACCTTTAACATCCACTTTCCCTTGAGCATTATCATCCCAATGGCTCTGCCTCTATGTTATCAAGATATTTCAAATCATACAGAAGGCCCACTCAGGTGGAACCATATAATATACACCAAATATTGGTAACCAAGAGGAACAGAGACAGGATTTAGAGTTCCTTGTGAATGGTTTCCTTGCTATCCAAAGAACCTCTCATGACCTTTCCCCCAAC